AGAAATATATTCATTACATGAAAGATTTTAATGTCCTCGATAAGTTCTTATACAAGCAATATATTTCTCGATTTGAAGATGAGCTAAAAGTAAATCCCAAAGCGTTTTGGAAATACATTCGATCTAAGAAAGGGTGCTCCAAGATCCCTTGTTGCATGTTATATTGTGGTAGGAAATCAGAAAACGTAGATCTTTTTGCGGACTTCTTCAAATCTAACTATGTCAGTGATGCTGCCTTATCCGGATGTAAGGTGGACGACATTCCGCAATCTGTTGATTTTGGCTCTTTGTCTGTCACAAAGCATCTCTGCTCTGCAATTGTCCTTAAAAAGTGACTTAGATGGGCTCTCTTCATACGTGCTCAAGAAATGCGGTTCGTCATTTTGCGTACCACTTAAATATATTTTTAATCTTTCGCTGGCCTCGGGTGTTTTTATTAATCGTTGGAAAATTGCCTCGATCTCCCAATTTTTAAATCTGGTAACAAAAATGATGCTACAAACTACGGACCTATATCTAAGCTTTCGACTTGCTCGAAACTTTTCGAGAAAGTGGTCAAAGAAAAACTATTCTTTGCCTTCAAAGGTTCCATTAATCCGTGCCGTGGTTTTGTGGGCGGTCGCTCGACTGCCACAAACCTAGCCTGTTTTTCTCATTTTTGCATAACTTCGTTCATGATGGGACGTCAAGTAGACGTTATCTACACCGATTTCTCAAAGGCTTTCGATACAGTCACTCACAGCATTTTATTGCGCAAACTTGAGTGTTTAGGTATACACTCTACATTTCTGTGCTGGGTTAGATCATACCTTTCCAATAGATTTTCTTTTGTTGAAATGGAGAATACGAGATCATGTGCCTTTGAGGCCACTTCTGGGGTACCCCAAGATACCATCCTAGGCCCAATATTTTTTCTTTTTAACCGACTTCCAATAAAGGAGGAGGTTATCAGTTCGTCGGAATATTTTTTTTTTTATGTATGTTACTGTATAACTTTGGACCACGTCTACTGATTTGGTTTAGATCCGATCATTGGATCATGAAATATATATACATATATATATTTTTTTTAAGTCGGTTTTTTTTTGCTAAAAATTACTTGTATTTATTAATGACGTTGGAGCCCGCTTTAAGCATTCCAAGTTTTTGCTATACGCTGACGACCTAAAAATCTTCATCAGTGTCACTTCTATGTCAGATGTTTTGCTACTAGAAAATGATCTTAATAACTTAACTACTTGGAGCATCAGAAATAACCTACCGCTTAATATTAAAAAATGTCTCCATATGACTCTTTCAAAGAGCATAAATACGCATAAGTCGGCTTATTATCTGCTTGATAAAATACTTTCTTCAGTTAAGGAATTTTCAGACCTAGGAATGATGTTCGATTCGGGATTTACCTTCATTAACCACATTAGCTATAATATTCCTAAAGCTTACTCTAATCTTGCTTTTTTGCGGCGCTATGGTAGAGACTTCAAAGATCCCTACACCCGAAAAATTCTGTATAACTCGTTGGTTCGCTCGAAGCTTGAATACGCCTCTTTAATCTGGAGTCCAATTTACTAAACTCATTCCTCTAGACTTGAAAGAGAGCAACGAAGCTTTATTCATTTCGCTCTTGTACCACTCCATTTTAGTGATCCCCTACCATCTTATACGGCCCGCTGTACGCTTATAAATCTGAAATCACTTGAGTCTAGGCGATCTATTCAATCTCTGCTTTTCATATACGATGTTATTAATGGCTTAGTGGACTGTCCCGAGCTTCTAAATTTCAATGTTCCATATAAAAATTTAGGCGCTCATTACCCGTTTAAAGTTAATAAAGCTAATTATTACAATTATGACCCCGTTTCCAGAGCTCTCATTGCACTTAATAGAATTTCCAAGAGCCTTGATATGGACTTCGCCCTCCCGAGATCTCATTTTGGTTCATTACTAGAATCAATGTGTTCCTAATTATAAATTTAAATATCTAATTTACACTTAAGACGAAAGCTTGTATATCTAGTCTATAAGATTTGTTAATCATAGACTTAATAAATAAAATGAAATGAATGTACGAATGTATGAATGTATGTATGAATGTAATGAATGAATGAATGATATCTTCAACACTTTATGTAGAAATGCAAATAGTTTTAAAGTTAGTTGTTGTTAAAATTTCCCCATTACTTCACATATGTTTTATATAAACACTGCACAAATCACTTTTCTTCATAAACAAATAAACGCTGCGAAGTATGTAATACCAAATCGTTGAAAATTTTACCAAAATATACTTTGTTAGGCATTACGAAATATAAAGTATATAAATTTCGAGGTTAAACAATATTTTATTACAAGGCCAATTTTCGACTGCGGTGCTTCTTTTTTTAAATCAACACTTTGATAAATATTATTTTATCGGTTAATTCAATACCTCGATATATAGTGAAAATTTGTAATCAAAAATCGCGCGATTTTTATTAAAAATTTTCGCCTGCAGCGCTTTACTATAAGTTCAATATATATTGAAAGCTTTTAATAAAAAATGGGGGTGCTTTAAAAAAACTAATACTTTGATATATTGCAAATTTTCGCTTCCGCCGCTTTTTTTTAAATCAATACTTTGATATATAGTGAAAATATGCACTAAAAAACGTGTGTTTTCATTGTTTCCGTTTTCAGTTTCTTTTTCGACATTTTTTATGATGTGTGGCAGCACCGAAGTTTCAGTTCAATCCCAAAAGGAAAAAGTGGGGTTGAATTTTACTTTTTTGCAACTTTAACTACTAAGTACCTAAAAAACATAAGGCTCCGGAGGGGGACCTTCAGATTTCAAATCAGGGGACCCCCTCTACACCCCCTCATCATCCTGGTCCATTATTGTAAAATCTTCCCGATAAGTTTATTGTAGCCACCCGCACTACGCATTTACGGGCAGTACGTTACTCACACGTACCGCAAAATCGTGCCCTGAACACAGCGTTAACGAAGGTATAGAAACCGGACTTCACCGTGCAGATTAGAGTTGGGCACTATTCAAATTTCAATAAGTGAGACTATGTGCGTTAAATGCACTGCTCAGCTGGCGCTATTTATATACGTGTGAAACACACATGTGCTCAGAGAGCGCTCCGTGAGCTACGGCCGGCCGACCACTGCTTTAGTTCATTCTGTTTAGTTAGTTGAATTGACAAATCATCATATTATTATCATACATATTACACACAAAACAAAAACTTTGGTAATTTTAATTCGCAGAATACTTTTACAAACATAAAAAACGCACATAAATATGTTTAGGAACTGAAATCACATACAAATAAGCAGGCTTTTTCAATCGACGGCATAAATTTGCAATAAAAATGTTAAACGACGGCAGTGCCACTTGCAGCGGAAGCGGTTTCTAAAGCTTCTAACAAATAACAAGCAAAGACTTCGCGAATTATGTATATTTACAAGTATCAGAAGCTGAAAACTTTATTGGATTTAATAAGTTTTACAATTCATATGAGATTCTCGATTTACAATAAACTTACACTTTACATATCTGCTACGCCCATGCGCTTTTGTTAACAGTCAAAATGGAAAGAACGAAATTTGCTGATATTTGACAGGTGTCGATTGGCAAACAACAGAAAAAAGAGGATGTGAAAAAATGCGAAATGGGTTGCCAACGCGACCTTTCGCAACATCCCCCTCCGTAAATCTCATGCGGGTACGTGCATGACGTTTACTACACTTTTCTCAGCTTCGATGTCCAATTTCGCCAGCTTCACTATCGGCCGCGTACATAATCCGTTCACTGTCTTCACTACTGCGCTACGGGCTTGCCCGTCATTACCAAAATGAAGTTCAGTCACTACTCCCTTAGGCCACGAATTTCTCTTGGAGTTTTCATCCACGATGACTACTATGTCATTCAATTTGATTGGAGTCGCCGGTGGATGGTACCATTTTGGGCGTCTGGTAAGACAAGGTAGATATTCCCGAATCCAGCGTCTCCAGAATTGGTCGGCCAGTTGACTGGAAATTCGGTAGTTTCGATGGAGTCCAGATGCGGAGTTATCGATGCTTGTTATCTCACGAATGCCGCTAGAGCTTCCAAGAAGGAAATGGTTTGGCGTAAGAGCTTCGTGCTCACCAGACTCGAGCGGAACGTAGGTCAGTGGCCTCGAATTAAGAATGTTTTCGACGTCGGCTAAAACCGCCCTTAGCACCTCCTCACGCAAGCCTGCACCTGGCAGAATGTCCATTAAAATTGGCTTCGTTGAGCGTGTCATTCGCTCCCAAGCTCCTTCCGTATGCGGTGAAGCAGGCGTTTTTTTATACCACTCAATTTCAGGATGCCTTTTCTCTATGTCTTCTGACGATATCTTCTCAATCTCATTTAAAAGCATCCTACTAGCGCCACGGAAGTTATTGCCGTTGTCCGATATAATTCGCTTCGGTACACCGCGGCGACTCACGAACTGTTTGAAAATCAGAAGAAATAACTTAGTAGACAGAGACGACGTGATCTCAATATGAATCGCGCGAGTGGTGAGGCATGTAAATAAGGCGCCCCGACGCTTTTCGCACCTTCGACCGACAGCCACGTCGATGGGCCCAAAATAATCCACCCCTGTGAAGGTGAAAGGTCTGGTAAAAGGTGACACACGTTCCGTAGGTAGATCACCCATTTGAGGCGGCCGTGGATAAGCCTTGCGATTACGGCACGTTTGACATTTGGCAGCACATTCTTTCACCAGCCTTCTCAGCGCAGCTATGCAGAACCTTTGCCTCATCTCATTAACAACGATTTCATTGTGATGGTGGTGGAACTTTCGGTGATAGAAGTCCACGATTAGTCGTGTTACAGTGTGGTCGCGTGGAAGAATAATCGGACGCTTAACGTCAATCGTCACACCATCAGCAGCGTCAATCCTTCCCTTTACTCGCAGGACGCCCTTTGGATCTAAATACGGAGAAAACTTGAGGAGGGGGGGATTTCCGTTTTATTTGCTCACCATTGCGCAGCCGACTAATTTCTTCGTGGAACACTTCCCCTTGACAATTAATCATTATTGCGAGCTCCGCTGAATCCAAATCGTCCTTTCCAAGTAACGCTTCCAATGATTTTGAGCATTGCTTACCTTTTGTTATGAATCGTATGAAACGCAGTATGAATCGATGAGTAGTGCGTAGCTTCTCCCAGCAACTAAATCTATTTGCATCAGGCGTTATTACAGAAGTGTTCATGGTTGTGGTGTCATCGAAGTCAGTGTGATGCAGGTCCTCCGCGGCCTCGTCATCCGCATCTGAAAATTGCAGAACCGGCCAGCTAGATTCCTCCTCTAGCAGAAACTTCGGGCCGCCGAACCAGCGTTGGTTGTCGTCAAAGCCACGGTTATCGCTCCATTTGGTTCCTTCATCTGCGATATTTTCACGGGACGGTACCCACCTCCATTCTTTAATGACAGAGCCTTCAAGAATTTCTCCTACTCTCAGTGCTACAAACTGATTAAACTTTCTTGAGTCTGAGCGTAACCAAAATAAAACGTTTTTAGAATCCGTCCAGAAAGTTCTGCGACTAACTTTGATGGACAGTTCGGATTCAATGAAATTAGCTAGTCGTAGCCCCAGCACCGCAGCTAATAGCTCAAGCCGCGGCACTGAGATAGGTTTTAGCGGCGCAACGCGAGTTTTCGAAGCTATAAGCGTACAGCATATTTGCGTATCTACCTCTGAACGCACGTAAGCCAAGGCTGCGTAAGCTTTTATACTGGCGTCCACAAATATGTGCAGTTCATTGATTTTGCTTTTGAAAGCTAGCGAAAAGCAACGAGGGATTCGTATACCGTTAATAGAAGGTATTCGTCGCACCCATTTAAACCAGTTGTTGCGTTGCTCTTCTTTAACAGGTTGGTCCCAACCGACACCGGAGCGCCAAACGTCTTGTAAAATAATTTTTGCTTGGATAATAGCGAAGCCAAGCAAACCCAATGGATCAAAAATCGTCATTATTGTGCGCAATATTTGCCGCTTAGACAAAACAGT